GTTTAGGGTTTAGGGTCTACTATAGGACTATAGGGTTTAGGGTTTAGTCTACTATAGGGTTTAGGGTTTAGGGTCTTGGGTCCGTCAAGTTAACCCAAAACCCCAAACCCTAAACCCCTAAAGCCCTAAACCCTAATAGGGGAAGGGCCCAAAACCTCGGATCGGTTCTGGCTTCTGCTCAGGCAGCTGATGACACTCCAGCGGCTCGAGATCCCATAAGACGGTATCAAACGGCTCTCTATGGAGATGCAGGACTGTTGAGATTCGATGCACTGAGCCAGAGGCAACTTCGGGAGTTGAAGAGTGTATGCAATTTATCGCAAATCGACATAGACACAGTCCGTGACATCGTTCAAGGGGGCTTTCGACTGGAGAGATGTCTCCACGTCGTTTTGATGCCATGTCTATTCGCATGCGTGCTCTCCACGATCCTCGAATGGCTCTGGTCTTTCTGGAATCCATCAGATTCCCTCTCCTACAGCATCTTGGTGCTAGAATTCGCAAAACTGTTTGCCTGGAGTTGCATGTTCACTGTGAAGCAACGTGCCACGCAGCGAGCAGCTCACCAGATCACGAAGGATCTCAACCAGCACTTCCAGGGACACGCCCGCAAATTGCTCTTCCACACCTGCGCACGAACCAGAAATCTGTGTCGAGTGGAACTTGCTTGGCGTTTCGAGGTGCTGGCTTGCGGTGGTTGTCCATAAGCACAGCTCCAGTCTTGCTCAATCATGCGTTGGGCCACACTTTCTGCGACGTGGCGGAGAAAAAAGCGCGGTTGCAAGCACCATGCTAAACACTCCCCAAACCGGATGTTCGTTCAAGGCCATGGTGTGCAGGTCGGAGTCTATACCTCTAGTGCCCTCACATGCTTCAGGTGCTTCAAGAAGAACTCGGCGCATGCATGCTGTACTGTTGTTGAAAAGTTTTGAGTTTTGAAGAACAATGTTGAGACAGGTCACCGGGGTTTGAAGTGCAACTCCATCTACCAGCCAAGGGGTGTCTGCGGTTTGCAACATGGTTTCTGCCTCATGACTTGTGAACCAAAAGGGGCCCTAAGGCTGAGGGCAGAGTTCAATGTGTGACAAAACATGGGCATTCTGGCTTCGCGTGCCGCTTGTGATGATTTTAGAGAGTTCGAACTTGCTGTCTTGGTCGATATACTGTTCAGGTGGCGACGACGAACTGGGTCAGTCACAAGCAAAGCTTCAACCCTACGGCCTAAACCCCGAACAGAAACAGACTACACCTTTTTCTTCTGCAAGAGCCTTAGTTTAGGGCTTTGGAGCTTAGGCTTTAAACTTGATTGTTTTACGGTTTTGCTTGAAGGGTTTTGGGTGGCTTGGGGTCGAGGATTTCTGGCTTATCCCCAACATCCAGTATCCCAGGAGTCTGAAACCCCATAAGAACCTGGACTCTGTGCTTTATGGTCACACCTTAGCGGAAACCCCTAAACCCTAAACCCTAAAGAACCCTAAGCCCTAAACCCTAAACCCTAAGTTCCCCCCCATTAATACCAGGCCTCGAGCTGCCAATCTTCGGCAAAGCCCAGAAATCCGAGATCACGGCTCCGCTGCTGCGCATTCCAGGAACCCCCCCCCCTCCGCAGCGCCTGATTAATTCCTAGCAGAGCAGGTTTAGGGTTTAGGGCTTTTAGGGTTTAGGGTTTAGGGTTTAGGAGGAACAGGACGGTTTGAGGGTTTAGCCGGGAGGAAAAACGGATCGTCTTGGGAGTTTTGGTGGTTTCGGGATTCAGGCTTGCGGGTTTAGGGTTTATGGTATTTTCATGATATGGTAGAGTATACACCATAGCCCGAGTCCCACGATTGTGGCCCACATCGTAGGGGTTCACAGCTTGAGAAGCTAGGATCTGCGCTTCAGGGCTTAGGCGCTGCGGACCGGAGGAGGGGCAAGATGCCTGTCTGGTCGGAAAAAGTGTGCTGAGAGGAGGTCAGAATGCATGCTGATTAAGAAGTACAAGGACATCCTTCCAGTCCCCAAACAGCAGCGCATGCGACAGAATGCCCCCAAATCGCGTCTTTAAGTCTCCATGTACCTGAATCGTGTTGATTTCGGCCCCTTTAGAAGAACCCCTAAAGCAAAGCCTCAAATGGAAGCCCTGAAAGGGAAGGGTCTGCTCTCCAGTGTTCAGGGCTCTTCTAGGGGTTTCGGGTTCAGGGGTCGGATTTAGGGGCTTGGGGTTTAGGGTTTAGGGGTTTAGGGGTAAGGGTCATTGGGTTTAGGGAAGGAGGTTTAGGGTTGAGGAGTTAGGGGTTTAGGATTTAGTTGTTTAAACTGTTAGGGAGCCACTTTGCGGCTCAGCAGTTGGCTGCTTGAGGAGGTATGTCTTGAGCTCTTGCCTTTAAGCTATCACGGTTTAGGGTTCAAGGGTTTAGGATTTCGGCTTAGGGTGCGTAGGGTTTACGGCAACAGCCTTCAAGCTTTGGAGAGTGCCTAGACGCTTGAATTAGTCTACCTTTTTTCGGATGAGTCATGTTATGGCTGAGATCTTAAAAAAACGAGGGCAACCAGAAAAGGTATAACATGTAAGGGATTCGGTAGGGGTGTTGAGCCCAATAGCTTGAGCAGATCAGTCCTCGGACGTCTGGTCTTCCTATGTGCCGTAGGGCTTCGGGGTTTAGGGTTTAGGGTTTAGGGTTTCGGGCTAGGGCTAGGGCTTAAGGTTCACACGTCCAGCCCTGCAATGCTTATGAGGATCAGGCTTTTGGTCCAGGTTGGTGAGTATATGTGGGGATTTGTTGGATGTTTGTTCGTACATAGTTTTCAAAGTGACTGGGGGTTAGGGTTTAGGGTAGGGCTTAGAGTTTGGGGTTCAGGGTTCAGGCTCCTTGTGGGTTTACTGGTAATGCAGTGATGCTGGGCTTCTAACAAAGCTTTCATTAGGGTCAGTCCGCCTTAGAGCAACAGCCCCGTAATAACAAGGATTCAGAGGGCCCTAAATCCTAAACCCTAAACCCTAAATCAGTTAATTGTAACACTGTAGCCAGGATTAATCTAAGCCCTCATCTTGTTGCCGGCGACTTCTCTTCAACAGCTTTGTATTGCCATCCAGACTACTTTGATACCATGTCCCACTCCAACATCACAAGAATGCACATCTCCAGCATGTATCTTCCTCTCGCCCATGGATCAGTGCCCTTTACTCCAAACTCTAAACCTTGAGCCTCACATGCTAGATCCCGAATCAAACGCCAGCACCGGTGTTTCGTTTCGGGGCATCCAATCTCCTGGTCGAAGACGTCTGTGCACAGCCTGCGTAATTGTTACAAGAATGATTGTTATTTTTATAGCTGCAATACTCATGTTATTGCAGGGCTTTGGATTTAGTCGGTTTAGGGCAGATCAAGCCTTAAACACTGCCTAGAGGGTCATGCCCCACGCTGTTTTAGGGTACCTAGATTTATGGTTAGGATCTATATGGAGCTGTTATATAGAAGTGTAGGTACCCGAATCAAGGTGTAGGGTATGACCCTGTAGGTACTTTGATTTCCTTAGCCTCTTAGCCCTCAGCTCTCAACTCTAGCAAAACATTTTGGGGAAAAATATTTTCCCCAATATGTTTAGGTGGAAAAATATTTTCCCCCATATGTTTAGTCGTAGCCACGTTTTCGACGATTCTTGGTGCTGTCTACAAACAAATGACGATAACTGCTTCGAAGTACGTTGTTGGTCAGAGAGGTTCTCGACACACTAGCTACTCCAGCTGCTCGCAGTTCGAGTCCTACTGTTGATGATATATATATATATATATCCTGCATTACCTTAGGGACACTAAACTATGGAATTTAGGGTAAATTTCCTTGTTATGGGTAATGCAGGATTTATATCATCTACCGTAGGTCTACCAGATCGCGGCTTTTGTGCAGAAATCAACAATGCCACGAAAGCCCCTAACTCGGAACCCTGACCCCTTGCCCTCAAACCCCAAATCCGTCACGGTTTAGGGTTTAGGGGTTGCTTCCTATGTCGGTCTTTAATCTGGCTACTGGCTCCTCGCAGCATCAGTGCTTCAGTGCTTAGTCCTAAGACATGCTTGGGCGTTGCAAGGATCGCAAAGTATCGGTTATGTAGAGTTCGCAACAATAGACAGCAACCACAATACGAGGGTGACGGTTGTTACTGCCTGATTGTTTCTAGGTAGCTGCCATGCTTTTCGGAGGCGAGTATAGCTAGCCTTTTGTTTGCTAGCTTTAGCTGCAAGGATTGTTCATGGCAACAATCGCACCTTATAGGAGTCCTACTGTTGACCAAAAACAGATCGAAGTTGCTTTTTGTGCCAGCCCTGACTGCTGCAATGGGCTACATTGACAAGGCAGTCTGCTCGCTTGCCGTTGCCTATTTTAAAGACGAGTAGTACGTCGTCGTCGTCGTCGTAGTAGTAGTAGTAGGAGGAGGAGCAGCTTAGTAGCAGTGGACGTCGTCGTTGTCGTCGTAGTAGTAGTAGTAGTAGTAGTAGTAGCAGTAGCAGCAAAAGTAGGTAGCAGGCAGTAGGTAATAGGTCGTAGTTAGTTGGTAGTTGATAGTAGTGAGTAGTTAGTAGTTGGTGGTCAGTAGTTAGCAGTTTGCAGCGTAGCAGTGTTCGTGGTAGGAGTAGTAGTAGCAGTGGAAGCCGAATTAAGAGTAGAAGTAGAAACAGAAGTAGAAGTAGAAGCAGAAGGCAGTAGCGGTAGAAAGTAAAAGTAGACTTAGAAGTAGATGCAGAAGTAGAAGTAGAAGCTGAAGCAGAAGTGGTGGTGGTGGTGGTGGTGGTGGTAATCAAGCAGACAAATGTTGTGGTAGCAACAGCAGTAGCTGGAAGTAGTCCTACAAGTAGCCATCGGTGGAGGTCGTCTTCATCGTCGTAGTCACCGCAATCGGTGTAGTCGTTGCAGTCGTTGCAGTCGTTGTATTCGTCCTATAGTTGTCATAGGCATTCGGCGTAGCCGAAGCCGTGGCGGTAGTGATAGTCGCAATTTTGGTCACACTCGTAGCCACGAACCCTATAAGCCCTAATGCCACTGAGACTAAGACCTGCCATGTGCGCAGCAGGTCCACAGCCCGACCTCTCCTGTCGCTTCTCAGCTGCTTAGGGTTTAAGTTTCTCGCGCCTCTTTTAAAGGATTTAGGGTTTAGGGCTTAGCGTTTAGAGGGTTTAGGGTTTAGGGTCTACTCGAGCTTAGGGTTGAGGTTTGGATGTCTTGAAATTAGCGCTTAGAGCAACAACATCTATCATTTCGGAGCTTCGCTAAAGTTGTAAAGACCCTACCATTCGCCACAAAGCTACAACTATAGCGCGGTAGTATCTCTGGTATCCTAAACCCTGATTTATAAGCCTTAAACTCTATGCCCTAACACCTTTCCTGCATTTCCATGTGCCTGCTTGCCTAGGGTACTAGTTAGAGTAGAGGGGACCGAATGATTCACATGATTCATGGGGTTTAAGGTTTAGGGTTCGAGTAAAGGGGACCCGGTGATTGGTTCATATCAATTCAACAGGGGTTGGGGGAAACTATAGTGTGGCTGCATAGGGACATTCAGATGATATTGATCTCATGGGTTCGGAGGATGTGCGGCTTTAGATTTACTAGGTGGCACTTTGGGAACCACTATGATTCCTATAGAGCTATTCATGCCTACTATTGAGGCACTACAACCACTTTAGGGTTGAGGTTGTGGGTGTTTCAGAGTTAGCCTTTGGGTTCTTCCT